TTACAGTTTAATCTGTGAAGAGCATGAAATTTCAATAGGTACACCTAAATCAATAAGACAAAAACATCTTAATTTCATGGGTCATTGCTCACTGTATTTGGAAATATAGAAATTTTGAAACAACCAAGGACACCATATAGTGAAAACTCTTTTGATAAAAAAAAGTGCAAAATATTTTGTCCTGATAAGCCCTGCCGTGGCTCAGCGGTAAGTTTGCGGACTTATAACGGTAAAATTCGAGGTTTGATACCCACGATGTTCACAGTGTAAATACTCCATTATGTAGCTTTGCGCTCAAATGAAGCAAACAACTGTTCGGATAGCTGACGCGTTTTTCTATTAATTTTTTGTCATAAAGTAGTGCGAGTGAAAAATACGATCTCAATTAAACAGGCCCACATTCGCGAGCGAATGTAACATGTCTCCACCATGGAATCCCAAACGTGGCCAATTTTGACGCCATAAAAATCGTGAAAAATAGAGAAAAATAGAAAACTGTCTATATCACTGCTTGGGTACTGCAAGAAGGTATCTTTGTACGAAATCCCATGTAAGTTGGTTGACATACACATGAATAGTTCACGAAAAACCCCAAAATTGCGTTTTCCTCGCTGAAAAATTGAACAAAAGATAAAAATTCCAAAATTTTCTATATCTCTGTTTGGGACCTGTAAAAAAATATCTTTGTACCAAATCCTGTGTAAATTGGCCGAAATACGGTGGAACAATTGTCAAAATCCTTTAATTATGCTTATAGTGGTATCTTGACCTTCCTATAATTATTGAAAATGGGCAAGTCCACCATCTTTGTTTGTCAATGTGTATTGTCTGTAGAAAAGTATCTTTGTACCAAATTCCATGCAAGTTAGCCGAAACAAGGTTAAGTAAAGGACCAAAACCTCCATAATTATGCTCTTTTTTTGTGAGCTTTGACTCCCCCCTCCCCCTAAAAAGACTCAAAATTGGCAAATTCAACTTTTTTTAAGCCAATGTGTTGGGCGCATGCAAATTTATATTTGAGCCAACTTACATCGTGATTGCTGTAAATATGACCCTACAAAAGCCCCAAAATATAAATTTTTGGGTTGTTTGACCTTTCATCCCAAAAATCCTTAAAGCAACCTAAATGAAAATACGAACAAACTAAGAAGACCTTTGGGCATATTGGACCAAGGTATAAACCTACCAATTTCAGGTCAGTCTGCCGAGAAATGAAGAATAGTGGTCGATTCAAAAGTGTTTGGAAGAAGAAACAAAAGAAAAACATTATCTCTCTCTTAGGAGACATAACAAGCAGAAAATATATACCAGTGGTTCTTAAACTTTTCAGGCTCGCATATCACTTTTTTTGTTTGAACTTTTTTTTTCTAAGCACAAGCCCAGAACTCATTAAACAAAACAACAACAAAAACATAGTAGTAAAATCAAATATTTTTAACACTTACTCTTTAAATGGGAAGGATGCGATTGCTTTTTTCTCGCACAACTGAAAAATGCCTGGTGCGATCTTTGTAAATTTCAAGGGAAGAAAACACTAGCGAGTGTATGCAGGCAGAGAGCGAGTCAAGAAGTATGGAGAGTAGTATATGTAAGTAAGCAGAAAGCTCAAATTAGGCTCATTACAAGTTTTATAATTTTTACATTGCTTTTTTTCGGGCAACATCGACATTAACTCTACGTACTACAGTTTGAGAACCTCCAATTTTATACAAATATTAAGCTACTTCCTAATATATATACATACTTTTTTACAAATACCATCTATAACACACCCGAGCATAACCTAGAATCGTTTATTCCAGATGACACCAAGTGGAATCAGTTATGACGTCACAAACGCCACCTGTCGTGTTTGATGTACGGGAACTGAGGCAGTTATTTAACCAATACATGTAGTCTCTAGGTTCAAGGTTTCCGGAACGCAAAAGTACTGACCTGACAAGTTTTTGATATTGTTTCTGTAACTGCCGGTTTGGCCCTTTGCCAAGACCTCAGAAAAACTAACATAAAAATGAATTATAATAATAATAAACAGGCGAGGTACCCTTTTACCACAGCAGGTCATTCTAAGGTTTAACATACACGCAGAAGCTGATTAGCTATTTTCTTTCTTCTCATTTTTTAATCAAAACTATTAAGGTACATTTCCTGGAAAATAGTACATAATTAACACTGAGTTCAGTAATAATGTAGAATATCGAACAATGATTGATACAAATCTCAAGAAAATAAATACCCGTCTTTTAATGAAGGTTTAATTAGTTTTTCCTTTTTCCTTTCTTCTCAATATTTTACCTTATTTTCTCATTAAATATAGCGTACCAAAATATTTCAGAAAACATCAACACCATAAATCAAAAAAGAAATAACAATAAATATTACTAAAGGGATAACTATATAAATTTTTTAGATCAACATTTCGGGTACATACGACCAACTGCTCCTTGCGTCACCTTATAACAGTTTACTGCTAGTTGGTGATACCCGGAAGTGTGCAAGAATAATTTTCAATTCTATGAGGCGCGATACGTTATTACTGGAGATTCAGATCGTAAAACCTGGTCACCAGAACAACACATTTGTAAGTTTGAATAAACTCCCAAAGTCAGTTACTTATACTTGTCATATTGCCCTGAAATTGTTCAACGGGGTAAAAATGCGGAGAGGTGAATACACTGAAGAAAGGTTATTGTTCTGCTTTCTGACAGCTGAGATACAAATTCCCATGATTCCAGGGGCAGTTGCAATATTTGTAAACCAACCTTCTAATTTGGATTCTTTTCATCCTGATACTAGTTTAAATTATTTACGTTGATTTGGATTATTTTTATTCTGGCAGTATTTCGGAAGTAAGCTGTTGTTTGGGTTCATTTGGATTATTTTTAGTTTGACAGTAGTTTTGATTGTTTTGGATTATTTTCATTCTGACAATACTGTTGTAAGTTATATTTTAATTTAGACATTTGCTAACTAGAGGACACGTGGCACAATTCTAAAAATTTCGGGCAGTATATAGAAACAAGGATACAATATAAATAAGAGAAGTAGTGAGTTAATGAGAGGTCAAAAAATATCCAATGAATTATTGAAGTATTAGTGAGTTTATCAGTTCAGTATCTTTTAGTAACTTGGAGAGAGAGAAAAAGATTATTTGTTTACGATTTCATTAACAGTCAGTTAATTAGCGGATTTAGTCGAGGTATTATACATGTAAGTTTATAAGTAAATTAGGTCTACAAATAAATATAGCCTGTAGTAAATGTTATTTAAGAAATAAATTAATTTGTTATCATTACGTAGACTTGCATTATTTTTATCAAACAATCCAAACGAACCCGCTCAACGACAGAACAGTACTTTGAGAAAAATCTGTTATTTAGGCTAGTTCGAAGTCTTTTTTATTCTAACCGTACTCTTGATTTTTTTGGGATTGATTATTTTTCTATTTTCATAGTACACATTCACAATAAACTCTTAATTGTGTTGCAGTGATAATTGAAATATTATTTGTACACAAAAGATCAAGGCATTAAAGTTTAATATATGCTAGTTATGGAAACACACAAGGTATTAAACATCACCTATCAAACTTATAGGCTTCAAAGAAGAATTTGATAATTTTGTGAATTAGAGCGTTAGTTATACATCATCAGGTAACAGCACTATTTTGTAGTTTAAGTGTGGCAACTGTATAAAATAAAGCAAAACATATAACACTTCACGCGAGGTCCCAAAAATTTTAAATACATCAGATTATTATGTGTGAATATGTTTTAACATCCTGTGAAAATGAAAGTACTGTAGAGTGATTGTAATTAAGAAACTAAACGTATATATAGATGTGTGTTTGTACAGTTAATCCTAACTATTACTATTATATAATACATTAAGAACCATAAATGTTTATTTAACTTTCAGTGCAATTGTTTCATTTGAATTAACGTGTTTTTACTGGTGAAAATGAATTATTCTAAAATTTCGAAATTTGTTTGAATATAATCTTTGCAAATAAAAGAACATTTTTTTTTGGGCGCAAAATGCCGTCTATGTAGAAAAACTTTATATTTCATATATACATTTGATAAAGTTGAATCAGACAAGTGTCGTTGTTGAAACCTAACAATACAAAATTTAAGTATATAGCGTAGCAAATCACCATAGAATATTACTATTACTCAGTTTTGGGCTTACGAAATTCTAGGTACGGTCATACTTCGGTAAAATACCACTCCACACAACTATTTCTTATCTATTATTTCCTGATATTTCTACATTTAGTATTCGATGACGAGGAACCCACTTTGAGACTAATAATGGTTGGAGACGGCTTGAATGGGTAATGATGACAAAACCTTGTTGAAACGTT